CAGTACAATTAATTTACGATATGTTTTTTATTTTTATTTTAAAAAAAAGCTCAACCTGTGTATTGTTGTGCCGGTTATTATTGTAGTGAAAATGGTAGCGAATTATCCCTTTGTCCAGAAGGTATTATTGTATTTCATGATCTTTACTCGGTATACTGCGGCACGAACACGGAACGTTAAAAAATTTTTTATTACTTAGGCCATTTTTGTGAAATTGGTAGCATTCAACCATCACCTTGTCACAAACTAGCAAGTTGTCCACCAGGAACAAGTGCTCTCAGTAGTTATCGTGTAGTTTTGATATTATTGATATTACTTGGGGGTTTTTTATTATTATTCCAAGTAAAAAGGAAAATTGATACAATAAAAATTGCAAAATATAAAAAATTATTCAATGATCATAAACTGCAATCCGAAAAGAAACTTGAACCTGTTTCAAGGACCTTTGATATCGAATTTACAAATCTTGGATTGATATTACCGAGTGGTATCGAAATCGTGAAGGTAAGTTTATTTTATTTTATTTTTAACTTTATTTTTTTTTTTGTTAACGCATTTTCATTATAATAGGGAGTGTCTGGAAAATTTAGTAAACACAGGACTTGCGCAATCATGGGTCCTTCAGGTACATAATAATAACATGAAAAATAATTCTTATCAATTAAAAAATTAAAATCAAACCCTAATTTCACAATTAGGCGCTGGTAAAACAACTTTTGTTTCTTTATTAACTGGAAAGGTTAAGAAAACTAGTGGCACAGTTAAAGGTAATGAAATCATTAATTTTATAAAATTTTTAAATTCAAGATTATGCCAACTAAATCTTTATTATAGTTAATGGAGTGGAAGAAACATTAGAAAAATATCGCAAATTAATAGGCTATGTCCCTCAAGAAGGTAAGTTCTATGACTGATTGTAGAAAAACATAATTTATTCGACTCATTAATAATTTTTTTCGACCTTAGATGTTATGCTTCGTGAATTAACCGTGCGCGAAATTTTGGTGGTACGAAAAAAAATTGCTTTGTTTTATCATAAATTCGGTTTTGGTATTTTATATTATTTATTTCATTTGATTATTAGCATTCTGCCATGATGCGTCTGCCAACTGATTTGAACCGCGCAACCAAAAAACAAAAAGTTCTTGAAACAATATCGTTTTTGGAATTAAGTCACATTATGGATTCAGTTATCGGGAATGAAGGTGAAAAAATAAAATAATGTTAAAATTTGTGATTACTTATTAAAACTACTTAAAATCTTAAATTGAATTAATCTAAAGAGAACAGAGGTATCTCGGGAGGTCAGCGTAAGCGTGTAAATATTGGGATGGAACTTGTCGCTGAACCATCAATTCTTTTCTTGGTAAGATTCTTTTGATAATTTTATTGACTTCATCATCTTTCGGTACTCATATATTTTTATTATTTAATCAGGATGAACCAACTTCGGGTCTAGATTCTACGACTTCATTTGAATTGTGCACGCTCTTAAAGAATATCGCTCATCAACAAGGTCTTACTATTGCGGCCATTATACATAGTCCTTCAGATCAAGCCTTTCGCCAGTTTGATGATTTTCTGCTACTTAGTAAAGGAGGAAGGGTCATTTATTCCGGAGAAAGAGATAAGGCATTAAATTATTTTGAAAATTTAGGTTTTGTTTGTCCTCCGGATGAAAGGTAAATGATGAAACGAATTTATGTGTATATATATTTTTTTTTTACTTGCTTTGCTAATTTTATTGTATTATTATAGCCCTCCTGATTTTATGTTGAAGATTGCTTCTGAAAAAGTTCAACCCGTTAATCGTAAATTTTCAACAAGCGATCTATCCAATATTTGGAATAATTACAGTTCAGGGCAAATAAATGATCCTACGTTAAATTTACCCGGATCTCATATTACAATAGAAGTTCAATGTGAAAAGCCTTCAGTAAAAATTATACAAAAATTTAAAAATTTTCTTTCAAATTATCTTACGATATTTTTACAACTATTTAGAGACGTAATAGATTATTTTAATGACATAATGACAGAATTTTCATCATTCTTGAGAACAACATTCTTTTTTTGGGAAAGTGATCCTATTCGCGAAACTCCAAATGGGTTTACATCATTTGTACTTTTATTTAAACGGGCATGTTTACAACTTTATCGAAATAGAGGACAATTTTTTTTTGATACGTCATTACATATTGCGTGCGGAACCTTCGTTTCTTTGACTGCCAGTAATGTTAATTATGTTGGGAGACCACCAAGAGAGCTTTGCATTGTAACACCTTATGCCGTAATTCCTTACTGTCTACTTTCATTGGATCTTATACAGGTAAAAACGATTCGTCCTTCATTCAATCCTTTTAAAATATTTCTTTTTGCATATTTTTTCTTAGTATGTTTCTTCATAGACTTGCTCCGTCTTTTTCGCGCTTGGATCAACCTTTTCGGGCATTAGTGGCAAGTAAAAAGTAACAAATGTTTGAATTCATTTTTAATGCATTATTATTTATCATTCAATATTCATGTATTTTAGCCGCCTGTACAACATTTGGATACGAAAAGGTCGTATATTGGCGTGAAACATCAGCTGGCATGAAGTCTTTACCGTACTTTCTCGCAAAATTTACTGCGGATATTCCTCGTATAATTAATGCTTCTACAATGTTTTCAATGGCTTTTATCCTTTTTTATTCATATCAAGCATTATTTGTAGAGATTTATGTAATCGCTTTACTAAGTTATTCATGCGCTTGGACGATGGGTTAGTAAATAAATAAATAAATATTAATGTCTGTTATATATGAGATGTTACGAAAAAAATTAAATTATGCTACTTTTTAGGTTACTTCTTGTCGATTATAGTTAAGAAAGGTAATTTACGCAGATTTTACTTGAGATCCTAATTCTTAACGAATAACTTTATCTTTTTTTTTCCTTTGCAAGAACAAATGGCATTAATCGGTACAGGATTTGCACTAGCATGGTCATTAGTATTAAGTGGCAAAAATCCTGAATTAGTAGCAGTTAATTCTTCTGATACATACAAATTCGTAAAATGGCTTTGGAAAGTTTCTGCTCCAAGATGGGTAGTTGAGGCTCTTTATTTAAAAGAAATTGGTCCAAGAAAGTAAGCCATCTAAAAAAAATTCATTTTTGAATATTCGTATAAAATAGAAATATATTTAACCTTTTTTTTTTATTTTCTAATTACAGGTGGTATGAAATACATAATGAGCCGTTGAATTTTACATACGCTTTTGAACATTATGAAGATTGTTTAATTAACCTTGGATTTATAGCATATAGTTGGGCCGTCATATCATTTTGTGCGATGAAGTTGGTTAATCGTAAAAAGCTAAAATAATGAATTTTGAAATTTACTATATAGAGCTACATCTGTAATTTTGAAAATTTTTTTTTTTTTTTTTCATTGTTATAATGCTTAGTAGTAAAAATTTTTTAAAAAAGTTCTATATATGCCAAATATTTTTAACCAAGTTTGATCACCTTTTGTAAATAATCATTGTATTTATGCAGTTGGGTGTTATGACGCATTTAATGCATTGAAGAATTTAACTTTTATTCATTCTCTTTTGTATCATCATCATCACATACATTTCAATTGATCTTTCACAAAATCAGATTTTTTTTTTTTTTTTTCCTGCAATGTTAAAAAAAAAATTTTTTAAATGATGACGTTTCAAAGTTTCAGCTAATCATTAAAATGAAAAAAAAAAAAAAAAAAATTTTTTTTTCTTATATATTTAGTACTGTAGTCTGATTGTCAGATGTTCAAACAACATTGAAGTGTTTTTCTGTACGTACACAAAAAAAAAAAATTTTTTTTTTTCTGTATCTTTAAAATTTAAAATTTTGCAAGAAAAAAATTTTTTAATTTTATTAATATTTTTTTCTCTTAGATTTGCATAAATCGTTTAAAGGCATTTGTGGAAGGATCAAAGTAAAATTTTTCATCAACTTTTTTTTTTTTTTTTTTTTTTTTTAAAGAATTACATAAATGGTGGAGAATTAAAACGCCTAAACACAAAGATTTCATTTTAAATATAATTTTTTTTAAAGTAAAAAAGTGAATGATAAAATATTTGAAAGCTCTTACGCTCTATATTCTGCAGTCATCCACAACTCATATGTTTCCCAAACATTAATGATATCTTCAGAATCTTCCAACATTTGAATTTCTTCCCAACTATTCAATACTTTATCATGACGTAAATATTTTTGTAAAGTTTTAACACATTCCCTTGTCAAATTTCCCTTAACATCCGAAATATAAAAATTAAGCAATTCACGCCCTTTCCACATTTCAAAAAATTTTGTTAAATCTAAAGGTGAAAATTCCCATCCCATATTCCCATGAAAAAATTCTCCGATACTACTCAAATTAATCATTTTCAATGATTTGGGAGCTTTAATTGCCAAAAATTCCAATAATGGCAAAGTTTTAATATCTTCAACGGTTATCAATTTAATACCCTCCAACCTTTGACATTTCTTGAACATTTCTTCCAAAGCGTCATAAATACCTTCTTTATACCAAATTGTGACGAATTCAATCTTTGGGCAATGATCCGCAATGGCCAACACATAATCCTTCGCCTCCCTTTCACTTTGCGGTTCTTCAATTACATTCATGGCGATCCTACGGAGCATACCTTTGGTTCTCTTAATGATACATGTGAAAATTTTATAAGGAGTGAACCTATCATAAATCACTTCTAGGAATTCTAGTACCGGAAAATTAGAAGATTCATGCAACATGATAGGTTTCTCCGCGGACAATTCAAGGTTCAATAACTTTAAATTTGAAAATTTTGCCAATATCTTTGGTGAAAAGAAGATTTGACCGCGAAAATGAATGTACAACAAGGAGATCTCATGTAAGCTCTTTCCGACCTTTCTAGAATCCGCCTCATCATTCACATTATCACACATTGATATATATTGCAACCTTTTTTGAAAATGAATGAAAGAGGCCAACCCTTCATTATCAACGATTGCTTTATTAATGATAAGTTTCTCTAGGCTAGTACAAACTTTTTCCAAATCCTTGAAAATCTGTGGTGAAATGTCCGCATCACACGTAATTTCCCTTAATCCAGAAAAGCAATTTCTTGGGGCGGTTATACCCAATAAGGGAAACCGAGGGATTTCAAAGTATTTGATATTTGAATTGACCAAGAAAAAATTGTAAAGTAACCTTTCGATGTACATCAAATTATGATTGATATTCAATGAATTATAAAGTTCATGATTGAATACTCCATGAATCAACCCTTTAATGTGTCGATATTCCAATACTTGAATATATTGAACATAATTGAATAAGGGGACCCTTGTCGTCGGGGGTGTGATTGATATACCATTAACTATGAAGGCAATCTTTATGTCAGGAGGCAATAGGGCGTATATCGTACTGGTTATTGATCTAGTTGACTTCTCTCTCCAATTAAACCAAGATAATACCCAAGGATTTCTCCACATTACGGGGATAACAGCCTCACACCATTTTCTGTTTACTAATAAACAAGAACCTAAAGTTTCTAAATCATCATATTCGTACGCATGCTCGAAAATTTCACGAAGACATTCAGTTGGAAGTGAAGAAGAATACATCGAGCCTATGATTAAAATTATTTTTGAACTAAATCACTCAATATATTTTCATCATAAAACATAAAAAAAAAAAAAAAAAAAAAAAAAAAAAAAAAAAAGTTTTTAAAAAAATTTAATTTAATCCTTCCCCAAAACCCTTTAAAATGTTTTTAAAATTTAATAA